TCTTCAATATGAGATTTATTTTGGGAGAGAGGCAAAATTATAGGACTCAAAGACTCACTGTTCTTATGTTATTTTATACATATTGGATATGAGGTTTAAGATATCTTATTGTCATCCAGAGGAGTTATTTTATAAATTCAATTCAAGTCCATATGGTAAGAAGCATAACATAATGTTAAAATTGAGAGTGTTTCACTTTGTTTTTTTTTTTTTTTTTTGATCACTTCACTTTCATAGTGGGGTGTTGGCCTCGTGTTAGTGTGACCTTCTGATTGTTTCTGTAAGGGTTCTGCATGTCTCGTTCATTTTTTAGGAGGTAACAAGGGAACTCCTTGACTTCTGTGGTGAAATGAAGGAAAAGTCAGGTGATGGGGCTGCGTAGTTCCTTTCTCAGTTTCAATCGTAGTTGTTCCATCGAACAGTTGTACATGTTGTAGTTCATTGAACTCTTTTAGTAAAGCGCATTTGGAAATACTATCCTATACAAGAAGTCTTAATTGACTTTTTCCATTTTGTTCTTTTTCAAAAATAAATGAACAAAGTAGACTTTTATTTCTAGTGAATGGTTAAAGAGATCGGGTTCTAAATGGACCCAAGAAGATCTAAATATCATTTCTCTGAAGATTGCAAATTGCTGAAAGGTCCATATACTTTTACAATTTTAATTATGAACATAAGAATGTATTTAGACAGATATAAATTACTATATGGTTTTAAGAACAGTCTTTTGAAAATATATTTTAGAAACTGCACAAGTTTCTATAGTCTTAGAAATGTAGATGTCATGCAGGTTTTGCAAGACTCCAAAACAGCAAAAATACATTGCTGTTTTGCAATATTAGGGAAGTTGAAACATCCATTGAGCTCACATTAGTTTGTTAGCTAACCACAAAATATGTAAAAAGGTAGAATTTTTTTTTTGATGTTTTCATTTCTTGACAGAAAGAAAAGCAAGCTGTAGAAGCACCTGCAAAGTATTATAGGAAACAATTAGGGTATCAATAAGAGCTTGGCTAATACCAGTTAGGGCAGCCTTAGAGGATGGCCTGCCACTAAGAAAGGCTACATTACATTTTAAGTTATGTAAAAGAGTGTTAGCTGAAAATGTGAATGTTTTAAAATATGTTGATCACACTATTCATCTATCATTACATTCAAAATGTATATTGCTATGCTATAAATTTGTTACATTTGCTATTAATATCTTCTTTCATTTAGAATCTTGGTTCAACAATTTGAAGATAATAAAGTTATAATAATCTCATTGCCATGAGAATTTCATATCTTTGAGTGTTGGTATATATATTGTTGCTTATGAGAATCTGGACTCAGCCTTACTTAAATTTGAGATTCAGTGCTGCCATCATCTTGATGTGGGCTCTTAGACAAGATAGTCAACCTCTCTTTGCTTTCTTTGTAAAGTAAGGATGATGACAATGATATTATACTTATTTCATAAGCCTCGTAAAAATGTTGTGAAGATTAAATGATCAACATATAACTCTTAGCACGATACATGTTAGTTTTTATATTTCCCAGTGAGATAATGGTAAGAAATAAGTAGCCATTTATTGAACAATTGCTAAATTATGTTACTAGTGCTTTTCTTATGATAGTACTTTTTACAGTCTCATGAAATACGTATTATTCCATTTTACAGATAAGGAAACTGTAGTATCCAATATAAAGATATTTTGTTTTGCAAATGAAGAGTATCTAATCTGGGCAGTTAAATAGTTTGAGTTTTGCTTTTAGAAGGACAGCTTTGGTGTCATTATAAAAAACAGAGGGAGGAAGAGAAAGTAGCCAAGAGAAGTTAGGAGGTCATTTGTTAGTCCTAGTGAAAAATATAAGGAGGGTTGAAGAAAACTGGGCAAATTTGATTTATATTCTAGAGGTAGAATCAAGTGAATACTGCAGTATGTGATTCAGTGTTAGAGGTCAGGAGAAGGAAATGCTAATGGTTCTCCCTTGGATATATTGGTTTGAAGTACTTACCCATGGGATAGCCAAGTTTAGATGCTTAGTAAACACCTGGAGCTATGAGGACTGGAGATTAAGAAAGACGTCTTGAATAGAGCTTAGAGTTTTGCAGATAAGGAGTATGAAAAGTTGTGTCCAGTGCAGGAATCTCAAATGGAGAAGTGTAGAGACCAGAGAGCAAAATCCCAAGTGGCACCAACATTTAAGGGACCATTGGAAGAATTTTTGTGTGGCTAGCAAAATATTTAGAGTCTCGTAGGATAATGAAATAGAAACCAAGTAAGGGGAATTTCAAGGAATAGGTAGTGTCTGACAATATTCTAGAGACATCAAATGTTATTTTTCGTTTTGAGCATAAAATTCGATTCAGCAATTTTGCAATTATAGAAGCAGTTATTTCAAGCATGTGCTCACAAAGCACTTTACTGTTTGCAAACTTTGCACCTGGTCATTGCTTAAGAAAGCATTTTGTAAAGTTTTAAATGTAATTAAAAGTGATATAATATTTTATTTAAGTTCTGTTTGTTTTTTCTTTCCACATATTGGCTGCACATTCTACTTTTAATCATACCATACCACTATTGAGTATTAGAAGAGCTCAGGAAATTTGCTTATGTAATGTAGTTCCCTCTCCCCAATACAGCTCCTTCCCTTTCCCTTAAGAGTAACTCCCACTATTCTGATTTTTATTCTCACTTCCTCGCTTTTCTACATTGTTTAATTGCCCAGGTGTGCATCCCTAAATATTAGAGCTTGGTTTTGCTGTTCTTGTAAAGCCATTTTTGAAGTATCTTATAATCTGCAGGTTTCCTTAACATACCTATTTCTTTCTCTCTCTTTTTTAACTTATCTGTTGAAAAAACCAGATCATTTATCTTATAGAGTTTTCCCACAATCTGGATTTTGTTGATTACTTTCATCAGATGTAGTTTAATGTGCTCTTCCATCCTCTGTACTTGCTGTAAAATGAGAATTGGACCTAGAGACATAATCAGTTTTAAGACACCCCCCCCCTTTGATAAGATTATTTCCTAGGTGGTGGGGTGTTTGTCCTCAAGAGGCACATAATTCTGTTTTTGAGATTATCGCAGCAGTTGATGTAAAATGCAAAGAACGATGATTTACTAAGGGTTGCAACGTCATTATAGTATACTTCTATGCTTTCTTTTTATTTACTTGCTGGAATTCTATAAAGAGAAGTTTTCTTTCTTTACTATTTTGTTAGCCAGTACTACAATTAGTATAGGACAAGCAAGGTACATGCTTGATATTTTTCTTTTATTTCTCAGTGTTCTGCATAAAGCTTCTATGAGCATTCTTTTTCTTTTTTTTCCCCTGAGACAGGATTTCCTTCTGTCACCTGGACTAGAGTGCAGTGCTGTCAACTTCAGACTCCTGGGCTCCAGTGATCCTCTTGCCAAAGCCTACCAAGTAGCTGGGACTTCAGGCATGTGCCAGGATGCCCAGCTAATTTTTCTATTTTTTATAGAGATGGGATCTCATTCTTGCTTAGGCTGGTCTTCAACTCCTGGCCTCAAGCAATCCTTTTGCCTCAGCCTCCTAAAGGATTACAAGTGTGAGCCACTGCTCCGGGCCTATTTCCCACTGTTCAAAATTAAAATTGGCTTTATATATCCTTTATAACTGGGGTGTGTTTCTGTGTGGGTACTGGCAGAGTGTTAGTGGTTGGGAGTCTGAGGATTAAATTGAAGAACAATAGACTTGAGGCTGTTACCGCCCTCACTTGACTCCACCCTCAGCAGAAATCTGGGAGACTGGTAAGTGAAGCTTACACTTGCCAGCTTGGTCCTTAGATCTCAGTTGCAGTCTCAAAATCTGGAGAGAAGTTCCATCTGTCCCATCTTCCTTGCCAAACTGTCAGAGAGAAGAAAACTTTTCCTTAACCATCTTAGGTTCAGAGAATTACACTGACAAAAGACAGATTAGCAAAACAAAAGACAGATTTAATCCTCTGTGCACTAGAGTTCACTGAACAAATGTGACTCATAGGAACAGTTAGAATCTGGGGCTTCTATACCATCTTAATAGAGTAATAGGAGGGGGAAAGTCCACTTATGGAAAAACAAATGGCTTTTTGGAAAGACAAATGAGGCCTTAGGAGAATAGATGAGAGATATGATAATTTTGTGACAGTGTCTATTTGGGTGTGGTGTGAAGACTTCTATCTGGTGATTAGAGGCAATCTTCCCTGTTGCTCCTAAGGAGGGGATTTATGACAATTGAGGTTTTTTGAGTTCTTTTGGGAGCTCTGTGTTTAGTCAGAGAAGAGATTTCAGGAACTCAAATGCCTTCTGCTCAAAATATTGATGTTACAGTGGCATATTCTGGACCCCTTCAAAGATATGTATGTGTGTGTGTGAGAGTGTGTGTGTGTTTGTGTTCTTTTAAGGTAAAACCTCATGAATTCATACTGATATTTTAAATTCAATTAAAATTCAGAACTACAGGATGCTTATTTAAATTGTGTCTTACATCTATAGCTATATCTAGCTCCTACAGCTTCTTAAGAAGACTGGAAATGATAAAATGTAGTCTATCACTCCAATCCACATTGCACACAAATCATTCTTGTAGTAACTACCACCAACAACATGATTACTGAGAAGAGTTCAAGCAGCCACTTCATTCTCCCCCCACCAGTGTGTTTGTTTTTGCAGTTGTGCTGTTTCTACACTGTCCAGAGCATATGGCACACAGGTTTTACAGTGCTCTCCCGCCTATATTCCCTTCAGCTATAGAGATTTTACAGAGATAACTATCACAGCCTTGCGCTTTTGTGATTCTGTTAATGTTAGATGAAAACTTATCTTCAGGTGTGCCTATGAAAGAGAATAAGAACAGTAACCAAGTCTATGTTGACAGAGGAATAATGCTTCAAACAAATGAATGCTACATTAAGAAACTGTTGGTAGAACATAGTTGTTAATAACTTAAAATGTATGTTGGATATTCCCCCAAATGTAACTTTCACATTTTGTCTTCTTTTGTGCTAATAGAACAGTCCAGTATGCCAGTAGAAAAAAATATCACTTTAGACAGACCTTCTAATATACAACTCACATGCCAGTTAACAACATCTAGGGATTTGAATTCAGTAAATGTGACTTGGAAAAAAGGTGATGAAATACTTGAGAATAATTATCTTATCAATGCAACAGGAAACATCCTATATACCCAACACATGTGAGTATATAAAATCTCAATTAACCTCTATTGCTAGACAAGATTAGCTCAATTCTAAGTATTTTTGTTGACTGAACATTCTTTCCTTTGCAGTCACTTGAATGTTATGCTAATGTTCTAATTTGCATATTTACAGAACTATCTCTATTTTAAAATTTTGATTAATGGCTAAGTCTTTTCATTTTCATTAGGAAGGTTTTTGAGAACTAAGCCTATATTAATATCTTGAATTATCTTTAGGTTCACCATCACTAATAGCAAACAAATGGGAAGTTATTCTTGTTTCTTTCAAGAAGAAAAGGAACAAAGGGGAACATTCAATTTCAGAGGTCAGTATTAATAACTTGAAGATTAATTAATAACTTTGGCTTTATGTTCTGAGATTTCTAAGTCTCCCCCTATTTTTAAATGATCATTACCATAATAAACATAATATAGCTGAAAGAAAAATGCTTTCTACTGAATCATAAGAAGAAACTTTGAAAATGGTCTTAAATCTCCCAATCCACTTCACTCCTGCTTCCTTCCACTCCCCAATTTAAAGCATAGGTATTAGTTCAAAAAGCCACCCACCAGGTTATTTGTAAATCATATCAGTCTCTTGAATTTATTTATTTATTTGGTCTCTAAAATCTGAAATAGCTTTTAAAATAGTCCTCCAGATTTCTAAGTTATTGTATTTCCTGCCTGTGAGAATATGATTTGATGTTTTATATCAGTGGTGCCAGGATGTGGAATTTTAGGGATTCATAAAATTTAGAAATAACATGGAGATGCACAATGGGTTACCCACTTTTTATCTCACCAAGTAAGGACATTTAAAAATATATACAAACCTCAGCATATCATTCACAGCTGTCTCCCATGGGAAGAAACATATCAAAGTATTTTATTATTTTCATCATTAAACCAAAATTTTAGAAGGTCTGAGTCTCATAATAAGGGCTAGTCGTTTGAGCTGGATAATTATCTTCATGAAAAACCCAATAGTTTATAGTAGATTAGTGAACTACAGTATCCATGTGGGTATTTGGGAAATGCAACTTGTCACCATATTATCTACTTTGGGCTCTACTTTGCATTAATTTCCCAGGGAACATGAAAATTGTTCTCTAAAAGTTTTGTTTTCCTAAAAGTTCTGATGTCTGACTAGCTGCTCTGACCAAGTGTGGATGTGATCTCCAAGGCCCCACCCATAGCAGGATGGCCTGCTTCATTACTGCCATGCTCTAAGGTGCCTCACTCCTGTATCCTTCACTGAGGCTCCTCTGCCTTCACAGACACATTTCCTTTGCTTGGTTTTGTAGTTGCTCCAACTTGGTAAATATAATAAATCCTTGAATTTATACACTTTGGTCTCCCCAAAGGCAGATAACTAGTAGCATTCTTTGATTATATTCATCATATATATTCTTTCTTAACTTTCCTTCCTCTGTTTGCCTAATTCAACTCAGTAAAGGAATACATATACCATATATATTTCATCTCTGTTTCCTTTTCCTTCCCCATTTCATTCCCTTTTCTTTTTTCTCTGCCCTCCTTTCCCCTCCTATTCCCCTACTCTCTCCTTTCCTTGTCTTTTTTCCTCTTTTTCCTTCTTTCCCTCCCTCTATCCATCTTTCCTTTCCTCTTTCTCTCCTTTCTTTCTCTTTCTTTTTTCTTTCTTTCTCTCTTCCTTCCCAATGAGCAAAAAAGAATATTAAAAACCCCCACACTCAAAACCTCCATAAACATATTTTATTGAGTCTTTTAAAAATATGTCAAGAAAACCTATGAGTCCTGAGGAAATGCTCGCCAAGTGCTCCCAGGTGATTTAGTTTTAAACGCTGATTTGTTTTTGTTTTTTTTTGAAATAGCATTATTCTCTGTAAATATGTACTAGTCATGCCTGCTTAAAGTTTAAATATTAAGTATATTATATTTTTCTATTAGCCCTGTTGTAATAAGTTACTTAAATTATTACATGGAAGTGATTATTCTTGCCTCTAATGTGAAGATTAACAGAAGCGTTTTACTTTTCAACATACCGATACATTTAATGCCAAGTATTCTTAGGGAAGGCTTCTTGATTCCTTAGTAATTTTGAGATAACTTAGATGATGCTAGCTGGGGCCAGGAACATGACACAAGACCTACGTTTTAAATCAGTTCTTTACAGAAGGCAAAGAGTCATTGGCTATTTACTTTTTTTTCTAGTTTGCTTGAAGCAGGTTAGGTTAATTCATTTTAAATGCCCATTTAACATTAATATGATTTTTAAGTATATACCATATCCTAAAGATATTTATAAAATTCATAAGGTGGATCCTTCTGGATCTTCCTTGGTAAAACAATTGTCTGTAATTCATTTGAATTGAATATTGCTTGGAGAAATAATTTTATATCTATAGAATTTAAAGGCATCTACAGAAAAATTCATGTTATAGCTATTTAATTAGGTCTGTAAGGCTTATAGAATAGTGAATATTTTTGTAAATGTCTATTATACTCTTTTCCCACCTGGTTTGCTTATGGTTTTTGCTAAGAAGAATAATTATCTTTTCTTAGCAGTATTATAATTGAATGTGGATGAAAAGCCTGTTTTATTCTCTATTTTACACTGAGCCCCAAATTTTTTCTACATGTGTCATCTATAGTGCATGAGCCTGAACCTTCAGAATGATTCCTCAGCAAAGTCCCTGCTTCTGTCTTTATGGGAGCTGATTGATGGATGACTACAAGATTGTAAAAGGGTCTCAACATCACTTATTACTATGATGCAAAAAAATCTCTCTGACTTTGTGTGTTTAGCTGTTGACACCAGGACAGAGGAGATGGCACTGGATGCTTGTAACTGCTAACATGTTTGTGATAACTTTTCACCTGAGAATGATGAGTGAATGTTTTTCAGTAATGGGTCAAACATTCTGAATAGTTACTAAAAACTACTCAGAATATTTGCATATATTCATCGATGTTAAACTGTCTTAGTAGAAAGTATGCAGACGTTTAATTGGCAAAGAACAAGAAGTTTTTGTAAGTCATGGTGAGATCTGATGGCACCAAATGCTGTGAAACCTGTCATGGCTTAGCTATCTGTCCTTCCCTGGAAGACTCCAGAAAGTCAAAAGTATGTAAAAGTAGCATAGTAGAATCAGCTGGGACTTCAGTCCTGGATCTCATATTTGAAATCCAGTTAGCAGTCTTTGCCAATATGGTTATCAGCCATATATAGCAGCACAGAAGAAGGCTTTATGTTACTTTGGGCATGAGTTTAGGGGTCTGACAAGAAATCAGAGGAGATGGAAACAATTTTGGTCTCAGCTTCTCCAGGTCATCCCTTAGTCATTGTCAGTTATCTGCAGTTGACAGTCTGATCTTAATATTTAATTGGGTGGTTTAGTAGTGTAACCATGTGTTTCTCACCCAAATCTCATAGAATACGTAAGATTTTGTTGAAAAGCCCCTTTCAGCTGCCATAGTATGCTTCCCAAATGTGAATCTCATAGAGACTTTTTGAAAAATAGCATATCTTGTGCATTTATTTCCCAAGCATTACCTTTCTTCCACCTTTTTTTCTTAGCCTATGAGTAAATTTCAATATTTTGATTCTATTTCAACACGTATTTTCCTGTTAAAGCATGACATAATCACCAGTAAAAAGCATACTGAGATTGAGAAATAGGATATCTGGGGATAAACAACCTGGGAAAGCAGAAACTATGCCCTTCACTAGTGCCCAACACAAAGTCTGCACTACAAAGCATTGTTTGTTTGAAGGTGAGCCTAGCCTGGCTTTAGCTCATTGTACTGTTCTAGAGCTGCACTAGTATGGCTTATGCCTGTCCACAAGGAACTCAGGAAATATGGCTCGACTCTACCTGAGGTTTGGAAGGAAGGGTGGAGCTCTAGTAAAGAATCACTAGTTTAGCCAAGGTCCAATCCCTGCTTGATTGGCAGGTCTTTAGTTGACACTTCTAAAACATGGTTGATCTTTCCAAGTAGGATTGTATCCCTCATATGTCTTTATGTTCTCATACTTCACCAATTAATAAAACTGTACCAGTTGTTGGGTATTTTGGAAATAAGTATGTTTAGAAAGTATATTGAGCTGGTAGATCAATAGAGCTTTGTCAGAATATCCAAGAATAATTTAATTCTCACTTGGTTTAGTCACTCCCTCTCAGAACAAAACCTCAGATACGGAAATAAGCACACAAATGGGAAACTGAAACACTTTGCTGTTAGCCAGTCTTGGAGCAAACCTTGCTGTAGATATCCTTGGAAGGCTTGACCACATGGATGGCTGGCATCCTTTTCCTCAGCTAGGTCTTGCCTTAAACCAAAGCAGACCAGCCTATTCCTTCATAACTCAAACTCAGTTTGGTACTTACTACTCTAGAGAAAAGACACACCCTCTTCAACTAGAAAAAAAAAATTATGCTGAGCATGGGGCTGGGTTATTTATGCCTCCAAATTCCCAATTTTAGGAAAAAAGTTCCAATCAATACCATGGAATATGAACAATCCAGGAACATCTTCCTCTGTGGGGCTAGAAAACAAGAAGGTTGAATGAGAGAAAGGAATTTATACACAGGTTAACAGGGACCTCGGTCCACAGACCAATATCCATTATTGCCACAGTCTCCACTATCTATTGAAGAAACTGGCTCTACTGTGAGAAAAACAATACAGAATGAAATGTTTTGTAGTTCAACTTAATTGAGCCTTCAACATATTGTCATTTAAACAGTTTCTTGTTTCTCAAGAATTTAAAATATACTTGTTAATATTAGGACAGATGGTTGGCCAGTATCATGGATCCAAGAGTTGGTGCCAATTTTCTTACATTAGTTATTTTTCTCAATCACAGTGCTAGCTGGGTGTACAGATAAGCTCTGAGGGAGCCGTGGTAGACTAAGCAAATTGAACCAAACTAGCAAAGGTAGCTTGACCTAATAGGGCAGAACACCTCTGTGAGAAACATTCTCTTTATTTAACTTTTGTTTTTTTATTACTAAGAGGAATTTTTTTTCCCCTCTACTAAGAGGAATTTGTATAAATAAGAGGGATTGCAGTTGCCTTTTAATTTAAAAATTTAGCTCATGGTTGTTGCATCAAAGTATAATTTGCTTTATTCTGCCTATAAAACCACTATGTTGTGAATGAGATATTTCCTTTTTATCCTTGGGTTTTATAATAATATGTAAAGTCATTTCATATATTCTTTCTGCTTCATATACTACATAGGTGTGGGAATGAGGTTTTCTTTTTAGCTTTTTAAACCAATTTCATTTCTTGTTATTGGTAAGAGGCAGTAATTAGGTACCCTGATTTAAATTATTCGAATTTATACTTAAATTAGCATGCTTATACAAACATACTCTTATTTTACAGCTTTAGCCAAGCATTTGAGTATGTGGTTAAAACTGTAGAATTTGTTTTAGAGCTTCACTGAAAAGTTGTTTACCACGTGGTATTCAAGGGTGGATTGGTACCATCACCTGCATCTCAAAGCTACTGTTTCTTCCTTCTTCTCGTGGGCCTTGTCTCTTGTAAATTCATCTCTGGTTTTTCATCATTTTACTCTTTTAATATCTTTTTTCAGATGGACTGGGCAGTCCATAAAGGACTGAATTTAGAGCCTTTCCTCATTCTCAGGGGTTTGCACACAGACCCGTGGTTATGAGAAGTTTTCAGATGAATTTCCAGTTCCCCTTTTTTTCTAGGTCTTATTTATTTTCTGTGCCACATGGCCAGCTGGTCTAGAAATCATTCTTCCACATGAAGATAATCCATCCTATTAAGCTGGCTAATGATCACTGTGCAGAAAGACCATGGGCATTACAAATTGTAAGAAAGTTTAAGAAAAGCAGTATGACGTAAATCAGTCACATGTACTCACCTCACCTGTCACCTCCCTCAGAAGCCTCCTGGTAGTTCCTTTCTAGGTGTTCATAAACTAGTAGTGGGGGGATTATACATTCTGATTGGTAGTTCACATCTTTGGTGCATGTAAAATTATAGATCATTCAATTTTATCAAAGCATGCTTTCTTGGTTATGAAAAGCATGGAAACCAGTGACTTACAGATTGCTCTGTCACCTCTTATGTTTTCTTGCACCGTTTATGCCTTCACAGGTGACATACCGTCCTCTTATTTACATTTCTTTCTTGTTAGTAGTACCTCATTCATCACTGTGCTGGTTAGCACTGCCGACGAAGGGGAGAGAGATATATGAATTATATTGGATCCAATAATTTAGGCCCATTTTAAACTATAAGGAAAAAAGGAAAACTTATCTCACTCACCATAGTAATATTAATCAACTAAGGACAGAATCCATAAAGAAATCCTGTTCTCCAGCTCTGATTTTACCCCTTCTCTGGTGGCTATACAAATTAGACTTTATTTACAGTTATTAGCAAATTATTTTTCACTTCCTCATCTTTACAGTTCATATATCCAGCAAATGCCCACTTATCTTTGGGTAGTAGAAACTCAGGAGCACTTAGAAAATGTTATTTAATCTAGAAGCCCAACTTTAGCAATTAAAATTGATGTTTTTATTCCTAACACTGACCATCCCAAATATAAAACCTAAAAATAGAATAACAAGTGAATATTAAATAAATCTATAAAATTTGTCAACAACAGTATTTAAAATTTAGACATTATAATTTCATCCATCCTTTACTAACTAGCAAACTAAAGTAAAAAAAAAAAAGCTTTTTAAAATTAGTAAAAAAAAATCAACAAAAGTAATCTGTTTATCTTTTTACATCTTCAATGTAAATGTACTTTCTATAATATATCCTTCAAGATCAATCAGAAGGAACTGATTTCACCATGTAGGCTTTTAATTAGCTTTTCTTACATTGCTTATGTTATGTTTTAATTTTTTTTACCAAGTTATTTGTATACCTAAAACTTCATTTCTCTAAATTCAGTGCTCATTTGTATTCTGTTACTGTTGGCATTTGCTTCAAACTTTCATGACTAAGAAATTTATCATAATGAATATTAGTTTGTTTTTTTTATAAAATCACATAAAAGTGTTTTTTAATTTGATTTTCTTTCTGACATTTCTCTTTCTGTTAATTTTCCTTTGTTCCTTTCTCATGTTCCTACCTTCTCTTAACTCTTTGCTGGCTTTTCATAAATCTGTGTCATCTGAAGATTTCTTACTCTGGAAATTTTGTCTTGTCACTCAAAGGTTATCTATGTCTAAAACTTTGAAGGAAGTAATTGCTGTAAGGTAACTTAGTAGGTGAGAAGAAAGAATAGACTGGTAAACATGAAGCTTCTTTCTTATCTAAAACATGTAATGATTTATTATAATACTTTTAATTGTTATTAGGCTTAATAATAGAAGGCTTTTCTTCCATTTCTACATTAGAGACAATTATATTGGAGCTATCTAACCACTACTATTAATGCTACTACTAACTACACCCTAACTACTATAAATTAGTTTCATTGTATATATAACTAAAACTACATAAAATCATGTATTTTATGTATTTTTTAAAAAAATGTATTTTTTAAAAAATGTATTTTTTTAAAAAATTAAAAGAGAAAATTTCTTCAAATTTAATACATACTATGCCTTTGTTTAACTATTTCAGTAACATTTCTCTAAATTTTTCTTAGTCCCCAAAGTTCATGGAAGAAACAAACCATTGATCTCCTATGTGGGGGATTCTACTGTCTTGACATGTAAATGTGAAGGTTGTTTTCCTTTAAATTGGACCTGGTACAGTAGTAATGGGAGTGTACAGGTAAGAGCGTATTTCTTTGATTTGAAGGAAACAAAAAAACTAATTTATTTCATAAATAAGATTATAAGACATTCAAAATTCCTAGGATGATTTATACTTTTTTTTATCTTGTTTGTCAGTATATATTCATAAAGAACAGTGATAAATGGAGTTGTCATTTGATATTTTGGCATATTACATTATATTTCTGAAAATACTCTTAATGTTTCCTTAGCTGGTACTTTGTTTTATAGATTTAACAATTTCTTAAAATTCTTTGAAAGGAAGTTAAAATTCACTTTTAGTTGACCAGTTTAGAAATAATCCCATCAAAAAATATTTTGTTTTCTTATTCCTTGAAAGTAACTAAAAAAAAAAAAGCCAGCCACCTTTTCTTACTTCTCTCTCTTAAAACATTAAGAATATTATTTGAGAAAAAAATGAAAATTTGGTTAATCCTGAGTTCTATCAGCAAGTGCCATTGGCCTTTTTTTGGTCCTCCAGGTACCTAAGGAAAGTCAAATACTTTTAGTTCCTATTTTTCTAAGGGAAATGGCTATTTAAAGGGCTGATATTAAGAAAAACATTTCTGGCTTCCTTTCTTCTTCCAAAATAGCCAGGGAAATTTAGGATGTTGTTCTTTAGGGGATACCTTTCTCTTGCCTGGGTGCTAATGAGCATTGAAATTAAAGCCTCATTAAAGTCAAGCTATAATTCTAGAAAGAACATATGAGCCAGTGTAAATCTTACAATGAAATGTTAAATTTCTTCTTAGATGAAATTGTTGCTATCATAAACTATTGAAAGACAACAGATGAGGAACTTAGAAGCGAGTGTAACTTATTCTGTGGTAACACAGGTTTAATTTTTCAACAAAATAGCTCTAACCAAATCACATGGTTGTATACTTAAACCATTAATACTTCCACTCTCATTGATGATTAGGAGAAGCAATCGTGTATATGTAAATATTTTTTAAAAGCATATAAGTTTTAAAAAATAAATATCAGCTATATTTTGTGGTATTCGAAATACAGCTTAATTTATTTATGCATGTGATACAACAATATGTGAAAAACAATAGCCTAAATGTAATTATATTAAACTTTGAGAATATTATTTTACATGTGCCTATGCTTCTTTCCATTTGCTATTCTAATCATTACCCTCTTAATTTGGCCCTAAGCCCAAGTCATATTAGAGTACAAGAAAAGTTCAGGGGACAGGTCAAAACTTTAGATCAAGTGTTTCTTTTTCAAAATGTAGACCAACCACATACATCAGAATCAGCTGGGTACTTATTAAAAATGCAACACTTTGATTTATCAGCTGTGATTTAGAGAGGGTGCATTTGTAATAAGCATCCCAGGCAGTGCTGTGCACATGGAGCCAGGTTGCTATAGTTTTTTGACAAATAATAAACTCATAGACCGTTCTTCCTCAGACAACCCCTGAGAATACTTGTATGCAGATTAGCATTTATTGCACAGCACAGTTGAGTAATAAAGCAGAGAAGGCATCAGACGGCCTCAGATTAAAATTTAATTTAAATAGATTAAATAAAACAGTTTCCGAATAGCTTAGAATGACACTTAGAGGCCTGGGGAAAATCCAGCAAATCACAGATGCCCACTTGCCTGAGAGAGAAAAATTCATATATGAAAGGACAGAAGCAGGGCAGTCTACCTCAGATCCCAGGCCCACAGGAGGTCCTATTTTTCCTTCTATATCATTTCCAAAGGCCTGAAAATTTCATCTTCAATTCCAGCCTGGGGAACTCCATGGTTGGAGTGAGAGATCTTCCTTTATAGGAATGATCAGAAATAGTAGCTTCAGGGGTGGTAGTTGTTTTGGTGTATGCCTGTGCATGTGGAGGAGGAAGTACTTTGACTGAAGAGCTAGTCAGGGATTAGAATGTGAAACCCAGATGGCTGGAATTTTTCTGGGTTTAATTCTCACATAATATTTACCCATGATGGCCTACTCATTGGTAGTTTTAAACATTCAATGCAAAATCCTTATAGCAAAGTAAACTTTCTCCTTTGCTACCTGGGAGATTAAACCCTGATAAGACTTAAGCTCTGTTATATATATGATTTCCCACAAATTTTAATATGCATTTTTCTAGTAGACAATTTTCTTGGCACTATCTTCTAGCTTTCACTCAAAACTAGATCATATAGAACATGTATCTTTTATGCACTATGATAGAAATGGATTTTAATGTCTCCTTATATTAGGTTCCTGTTGGTATTCAAAAGAATATGTATGTGAAGAATGGAACATATGCTAATGAAACAAGTCTCAAGATAACAGAGCTTTTGGAAGGAGACGGGGGATCTTACTGGTGCCGTGCATTATTCCAATTAGGGGAGAGTGAAGACCACATTGAACTTGTTGTGCTGAGCTTTTTGGTGCCCCTCAAACCATTTCTTGCAATAGTCGGTGAGGTGGTTCTTTTAGTGACCATTATTCTGCTTTGTGAAAAGTACACCCAGAAGAAACAGCTGGACTCAGGTAGGATTTTTTAAGATAATATTAATTATGATAAGTGTCACTTAATTATGATAAGTATTAAAAACTACTCCTCAGTACATCAATGACTTTAGGGTTTTTGAGAAAAATCTAATTGTTCTTATTTGAAGGAGTATTTATGTTAATAATGATGGTAACAATGAGCTAGGAACCTAAATCAATGGTCTTCCTGTTTCAATTCCTTAAAAAAAAATTTAGTATTAAAAAATACCACTTTTCCCCTTTTGTTTTGGTGCTTACTGGTACTTAAGTACCAATTAGGTGATATGTGTTTTAGCACTGAACTATTAGATCTATGATAGCTTAATATCAAAGGTCTCAAAGGCAATTATTCTTTCACTTAGATAATTCATTTTTAAAAATATTTTATCAAACATTCTGGAGTTCTTATAAAAGAAAAATTTTTATGAGAAACTGTCAGTTTTCTATTTTTGTAGCCTGTGCTTGATGGGTTATGGGTTGAGCAAGCAGTGTTTCCTTGAGAAAATTGATTATACATCCTCTATTTTTTTCCTGATTGTGTACTAAATTTTTAATAACTTAAATAATGACAAAACAAATAATCAGTCATACTTTTGAAAGTACAAGAGCACTAAATATGCTTGATCACAAATGCAGGTAAGGTCTGGAGTGCAGATCAAGAAGAAGGTGTGAGGAAGTGTCCCCATCTAGGATAGCACATCTCACCTTCATTCTAAGGAGAAAAGACAGTACAATGCCATCTTACTTAGGGCAGAGGTTTAATTGAACATGTATGTTCCATAAAAAATAAAACCAAACTTAATAGTCATATTCTTCTTTTGTTACACAGGCACCGAGAAAGAATTTGAACAAATTGAACAGCTGTAAGTATTATTTTTTACAGATAAATTTTCACTTAAGTACAATACAAATAAATATGATGCTGAATGAAATGTTTATAATTAGGAAAGAAAAATCACAGGAATATATTATGTGTTTGTTATTTTTTGTACATGTCCATATGGTGAAGAGTGGTATCCTGTGTCTGCCTACTCACCTTGGAATCCATTTCCATCGCTTATTACCTGCATGTCTCTGTGCTTTTGTTTTCTCCTCTACAAAATGGATTTAATAATTGCACTTACCACATAAGGCTGTTGGAGTAAATGAATATTGTGTGTGTAAATGCTTAGCACAGGCTTTGATGCTCAGAAGGTGTGCAATAACTATAAGGAAGTATTATTTGTTTAAAGAAATGATCCTCAACTTAAGAGGCCCTTTAAAAATATGGTTGCTCAAACCTTGCTGGATATCCTAGATCAGAACCTCTGGGATTGGGGCCAGGGCATCTGTATTTCTTAGAAACATCTACCAGTGGTTCTGATTCTCCGTCATGTTGAAAATCATTGGCCTAGAATTCTATTAGTTGTTATTTTTGAGAGAACACAGATTGTGCCATAAGTTCTCTTATAGACCCATTTGTTTAGAGTTAAGCTTGAGGAGGGCTGGGAATAAAATCACAAGAGATATCATTTGTTTTGGTGATGGTGGGAGTTCCCAGTTCTTCCAAACCACAGAAGTTAGTTTGGAGAGGAAGAAGTTAGTTAGTGAGGGAGGTGCCTAAGACTAGGATTAGAGTCTGAGCAACATAGCTAAGGGCTGGAGACCAGGCAAATGAGACCAGATTAAAGTTGCTGAAAGAAACTGAAGAAATGAAGGTCTGAGCAACTGTTACTAACACACTTGGAGTTTATCTTTATCAGCCAGTCTGAGATCTGAGGTGTGAATACTATAGCCATGGATGGCAGGAATGGGGCAGAGAGTTGTCATTCACATATTTGTGGACATTATTCAAATAGTCATGTTTACTGAGTTCACATACAACAAGTAAAATAAACCAACAAGACATGAGCTTCCAAATTAAGGGCACAAAGTAATTACATCAGGTGTCCCATAACCCTAGTTTAGAATCATAGACTCTTATAGTTGGAAGGAAATTATACCTCTCCCAAGTTCTCTTCTTGGAGAACATGGCCATCTTACTTATATTGATTTGAACTTTTAATCTTTCTGATTCCCATGTATTGGGAATTACTCTATTACTCTATTACTTTATTACTCTTAGAATCATATAAACAACATGACAGCCATTCACATATTTGAAGACAGAATCTTGCCCGGATTCTTCTGTTCTCCCAGCTCAACCTCCCCACTGTCTCTCACCATTCCTGTGAGGTCACAGTTGGAGGTTGCATCCTGGTTTGTTTAAGACACACTCTGAAAGGATGATGCCAGAACTGGGTGGAGTGTGCTGTCACTTCTGAAAAATTTAATTTTCATTTATGAGCCCTATTCTTTAATATTTTTTTCTCGACTGTCTTAGGAACAATATCAAACTGATTCAATCTATAGTATAAAAATGAACTTTCTGTCTTTTCTTTGTACATCATTTCCCCCATCCTTTATTGAACCACAGAGATCACTGAAAGTGTTTCATTTTTTTCATCTTTAGGTTGTTTCAATATCTTTGGATTTAATGCAAATATCAAGTGTACTTGAATTCATGCAGGGCAACCCTTTATGAATGCTCCATTTAGAATTTTTAGTTAGGAGATAATTTTTTTTGGCAGAAAATATTTTAGCATGTTAAATATAAAATATATGTAATGTTTATATATGTGGCATTTGGATATCACTGTTCATATGAGTTTCTTGGTGAAAATGAATTAAAAAAATAGTACTAAGCATATAATGTCAAAAGAAGCTGGTCGCTTCAAGGTAGTTCAATGAGGAGCTCCCTCATCATCTGACCAACTCAATTGTTTAAACCACATAATCCCACCTAAAAGCCCAGCACCCACACCCTCCTAACCCAATTTTGACATAGTTGATGGGGTAGTTGAATTTATTATCTGGTGGTAATGGCTTAATGAGCCTAAGTTGCCCATAAGGGCATTCATTACGGGCAGTCGTTTTAGTCATTCTTAAGAATCTGAGGTCCACATTTTTAACCTTGTTCTAATGGACATGAGGTGGACAAGGAACTATGTTTAACCTCTAATTCAATGTAATAAACATATCAACTTATTGCATCTGAATTACACATATTGGCTAAGCTCCTAAGTGGCTACTACCTTGCATGTTTCAAAACAACATGTAAGTTATGGTCATAATGCCCAAGCCTCCACTTGGGAAGAAGCAGTTTTTACTGTGCTTAAAATAAACAAATCTTTCTCACAATCAAATCTGTGGCAATGGCTCTTCTCCAAGCAGTGGCATAAAAATAAAATCAATATTATGAGTAAAACATTTTTAGGAAGAATGAATTCTGTCCGTATTGACATCTTACATTGTAACCTAATAGCCATGACATAAATGGTATACTGACTTAATTTTATGCAATGTAAACATCTAAGGGTTTTTCTTTTTGTTTCCTATACAGGAAATCAGATGATAGCAATGGTATAGAAAATAATGCCCCAAGGCTCAGAAAAACTGTAAGTTATTTCTGAATGATATTCTAAATAAAGGTAAAGTTCAATATGCACAGGTTGTTAATCTAGTTACCTTTTCTTTAAAAGACCTAGTCACCTAGGTCTTTTTTTTAAAAGACCTAGTCATTTACTCTGTACTTGAATATGCTTGTTTACACTATTATAGAAGAGAATATTCAGTGTAGTTATACAAAGATAAATAGTATCCTTTTCTACCAGAGAACATGTGGCAACCAATCTAAAAGTAAGTCTATTGTACTGTCTGTATATATATTTTTTATCACCATGAAGTAGTTTCTTTTATAATTTTTCATGTAGATTTGTTTTGTTTTCCTCTCAAATTTTCTGGATTTTTCTGTTATTTTATTTGGTATTATAAACTAATCTGCATTAGCTAATTTCCTCTACTGATTAGATTTAAAGTTTCTTAGTTCATCAACATTAGAGTAGGAGCTCTTAGTTTTGGCAGTAGGTTAGATCCTTTACTTCCCAATACTTTTTGCTTTGCTCAAATAGTAATTATAGAATATCCAGAAATCTAATTATGTTTTATTATGCTTTATTTAACTCAGGAACCTGCGGGCCAGTGAATGCAAAACATCATGTCAAAGATCATGGGAAGATGTACGAAGAATTTATATTTCAGCTTTGTTTATCCTGCCCGTTAAGAGTATCTGAGTTTTTATTTTGATTTCATTTTATATTTTTAGCATATCCATCACATAAAACATTTATTTCCTTGTGTTGGAAACACTCAAAATCAGAATCCACTCAAAATATACAATAAATCGTTATTAATTAGAGTCACCCTATAGTGCTATAGAACACTAGAACTTATTCCTCCCATTTAGCTGTAGTTTTATATCCATTAACCAACTTCTGGCTATTCTTCTGCTTTTTGTGACAATCTGATGTTTGATTCAAGATCCTTATTTCAGATTTTATTATTTTTAAATGGCAGGGAGGTAGGTACATTCAAAGTATAATGCTTCTGCATTGTTAGTAGGCCTGATATAGACTTGGAGCAAATGGACATTAATAATCCTTCCTGGTGCACATACCCTATACGTGAGTTTTTATTTTTAAAAGGGTGAAAACTTTGTGTAACATGCTTAGCAGTAGCTTCATAAATAATATATGCTATCTCATATCTAAAGATATATTTTTATTCTGCCATCGTTTGATATTAAAGCAGGGTAAATTGTAGTAAATATATTCTATGAGCTATAACCTCATAGAACCAGGTTCTATGAGCTAATTATTATAGGATGATTAATTTTATTCTGGTCTTCAAAGAACACACGGAACAGATACCAGCAAAATCACTTAATAGTTCATGGAACAAAAGTCACTCAAGACCATTTATAACCAAAGAATTCATTAAAGAGAAAGCTTTTACCATTTGTCTTAAAAGTTTGTTTTTTTTCCACTCATGCTTACTATGTATAGAAGTATTCATAATCATGTAAAGTGTATTCTTCTGTGATATTGAAAAACAATGTCTTCACTAGGGAATGAATACTTTCTGCCTTTGCTTATGATGGTTACTGTACAGTCTCCACAGCAAAACAAAGTGTTTATTCAGAAATATTAATATTTGCAGAAGGCAAGAAAACAAAACCATAGGCTTGCCTCAAGGCTCTGTCACTACAAAAGCAAAATTTCCAGTGTTTATTTCACTTATAACCACTGCTTTCCCACACAAGACCAAAGTGCCTCTTAGTCTTAAAACAGAGCAGTTTTTTTTAGCCATGGGTTTTGGACTTCTTAAGGGACTCTGGTATTGATGTTTCAGGGCGTAGGCCCACATAGTCATAATGTATCACTGCTACGTTGTTGCTTTTGTGGTTTATGGTTTTCCACTATCTTTGATTTGATACCTGATTTCCTGGTATCCATGGCTGTTTAACTATCTAAAAACATATTAATGCTTTACAATAATAACTGCTTTGACTGAAATCCAGAAGTACTAAAGAACTTTATGTTGTTCTGAATGCCTTAGACTTATCTTCAAAAACAAGATAATTGCATACATAACTGAAATATGTTATAAATTCACTATAATCAAATGAAATAAAATCTGAATAGACATGGAAAATTATTGGTGGCTTTGAATGAAATTAAATTCATGCCACAGGATACTGGATGAGGTCAAAGACCATGATGTGAAACCTGCTGGGTGTCCTTGGTGCTGGTGGGTCCAATGTCCCACTGCTGTGGGGCAGCAGTTAAAATAGAAGCAAAGAAGAAAGAGCTTGAGATGGTGACAAGGAACCCACAATGCTTGGTGACTAGGGGATTAAAGCTTGGGGAAGAGGAGTTCAAAAATTTCAAGAAAAATACTTTACAGAAATGTATACCATGTACTGGCTAAGAAAATTCTAATAATATTTTGATAGTGAAAATTATATTACATCCTAACTAATGTTTACCAATATTGCTAGTATGAATAATATACATAGTGATTTGGAAGCTGCTCATTATTTTGTTGCTGTGACAAAATGCAGTATTTTGTTGTAAAGCCTGTTAGTTAACTACACATATAAGTTTGTTGAACTGGAATACATCCCTTAAATAATGCCAGAATTCATTTTATTCTGTCTCACAGCTATGCATTTATTTTGGTTTAATTCATTATTACTTTGATAACATTATCTTGGGTGTTAGCTATATAACCGATCAGTTATCTTAGTTAATCTACACAAGTTGAATGTGATGAAACAATAGTCAGATCTGCTATTTGACAAAGTCTAATTCAAAGTTGTATATTTGTAAATGGGTATATAGGAATCCCCCCCCCCCAAATGCAGCTCATTCCAGTATGCATCCTTCCATTTTGCCACCACATTTTGGCTAAAATAGTTTTCAAGTAGGAAAAATTGCTGCCCAAAGGTAAAATAATCTGAAATATTTATGTAGTAAATTGAATTTTTAAGTGGCAATTGTTGCATTTATTGTTTTCTAGCAAAGACAATTTATTTCAGCAACTTTAAGCAGAAAAAATACTCAAAAATTAATGTTGATTTTTGACTTTTCAGAGATTCTCTGAAGGATTTCTGGAAAATTACAACTGTTAGATTAAAAATGGACTGCTTCCATTAACTAACCTCATGGAGCTGATAAATGGATTAATGAATAATGACCAATTATAAATTGACTACAAATACTAAGGAGCAGAAAAGCTGAAGTAGGAAAATTACTCCAAGTTTATATATCAGGCACCTTGGCAAATTGTTCTCTTAATCTTTCCAGCTAACAGAGTTTTTTAGCATAATAAGTAGATTTAATGATGTCATAAAATTCCCAGATACTTTCATATTCAGTTTATCCTAATGTGTAAATCTTCTTCCTTTGCAATCTTTTGCTTTTCCCCAGCATCTAGTTACTCAGGCTCAAATCTACAATTCATTGTGATATTTCCTTCTCCTTTGTTAACTAATACTTATTGGTTATGGATTCTTCTTCTTTTGACCTTTTTAATGGTTCATGAATCCACTTCATTGTTACCTCCTCCCTACCCTTACCAGCTGCAACAGCTAATGCCTTGATTTTCCTACCTTAATCTACGGTTCTATCAATCCATCTTTTGCGTGGTGTTCCGAATCTTCTTTCTAAAACACAAATTTTACTATGCAACTTAATATGACACATCAAGTATCTGCCGGCTGACCTTTGCCATTTCTTAATATTGCAGTCCTTCAAATTGCTCATCTGTCTCCAGTGTCTTGAACTAGCCTTGGCACATAGAGACTTGGCCCAGAATGCTCTACATATGCTTCTCTCTGCTTGACTAACTCAAGGTTAGCTTTCAAGACTTTAATCTGATGTTCTTTCTTGGAGGAGCCTTCATACTCAGTGGGTCATACACCATCTTATGTGCTCAAATAACTCCACGTTTCTTTGTGTTTATTACCCTGTATTGTAAATTGTACATTTGTTGGTCTCTCTTCTGGATTTTGCCTTTTATTTCTGTGCTCTATACCTACTGCAGAGAGGGTACATTAGAGATGTCTTGAAATGTGCATTGAAGGGATGAATGCACAAATAAAAATTAAATTTCATAAATGTGGACTTATTTTGAGAAAAACTATCTTGTGACAAATCAGAATTGAAAAATACTTTAACAGAGGAAAACAGGCTTTGTATAACTTCAGTATGTGCTTCTATTACTTTGAAACACATATAATGATAGAATAAAAGTTCCCATCAGATTTTCTTAAATAATGTATTAATGTCTTGTGAACAAGGGGAGTTCTATTCCTAAACTATTATATAGAGAATGTTGCCTTCAACTTATTTAAATTCTTTTTGTTCTTCATGTTCCATGGACAATGTACAAGTATAAATTCTATTTTTATCCTGTATTTTAACAAGATAATGCACTGACTTTAAACATAAAGAACTTTAGTAGTTGTATTCCTTTGAATGGTATCATGGAGAGTTGATATTTGTGCCCATTCTGCTAACCTTCTCATTCCACTTCCTCCTGGCAGTACCTTATGATACTTTGGAGTATCTCAGAATCTAATTCAAAATTTAATCTTAAAAGAAACAATTTTTTAAAAAAGTTTCATTGATTAGTTTTGATCACTGGAAGCATATCTTTTGTCAAATTCATCAAAATAAAAAATTGTCATTTCTGTTTACTTGCTCCCTGGATCTTCATCTAGAGGCATTTAAGTAGGTTCATGCAACATGATTTACTGAATATCAACAGCTAATAGAAAAATGAATCTTCTCTAAATGAATAAATCTATATAAAGAATCGGAGACTTCCATTGGCGTTGTTTATGTTTAGGTGGGAATAAGTTCAAGTATGTATTCCAGTATTAATTAAAAGGCACAATGGAACCTACTTGTTCCATGCTCTGAGTAAATAATGAATGAATGAAAAGTAAAGGAATGACTTCCTTATTTTAGAATCTTAAGTAATATATATGTGTACGATATCTGCTTTGATTTTGATTAATTAACCATAAATTTATCTTATTCTAGTATTGAGAAAAAAACTGGAACTAAGTGCTATTCTTTCATATGATATTTAGGAATATATTTGCACTGTATCTAGAAAGTCAGTTACATGACCTATTTACCAATTGAGTTCTTCATTAAGGATATGTCATGTTGTTAAGTAGTAATGACTGACATATTGGGGGTAAAACATCTGACCACCACTGTGCAAAATGCTTTGAAATATTTTATCTTATTTAACCCTGACATCATCCTATGCTAAAAAGAGTTATAATCTACTTTTTTATAGATGAGGAAACTCAAATTTAGAGAGATTAAGTAAACTGTCTAAAATCACCCTGCCTGTAAGTTTTCAGAGTTGGGATTGAAATCTAAGGAGTCTGCCTCCGGAGCCTAAGCCTGACCACCATGTTGAACAGCTTTGCCCTGCTAGTTGCACACTTCTTAAAAATTAAGGCTATTATCAACTATTTTTATATAAATTTATTCCTGTAGCTGGTCAGTTATAGTTCCATAATCTTATTCTCAAGCTTTATTGGATGCATGCTTTGGCATTCTTGTGTCCCTGCCATGGTGCTGGGGAATCAACACACATTTATTTTAGGGCTCTTTCGTTTTTTTCTTTTTTTCCTAATTTTATTTACCAATTGTGAGGGTGATGATAAAGTATATCATCTAAACACCGAAAATGAAAGAGAGTGCTTTTTTAGGATTTCCCCAGGACATAAGGCAGAAAAAATAGGCCCTGTGCTCATACTTTTAGCCTGCAGGGAAGAACTAAGTACTTTATAGGTGGTCTACCCCAGACACTGCAGTGACATCTGCAGCCAGGTGGAATGATAAACAGAAATAAACTTGCAGGGAAATAGCCATTTTTAGTAAATGCAGGAAAACAGCAAATTTATAGTAAATGTCAGGTGACTCTCATTATAGAGAAGTATCTATAATGAGACAACTTAGTAAGCCTAAAGTTTTATTACTCTATCACCCAAAGTATCTAACATAACTAAGATTTATTGGTATTCAAAAGTATGATTCACAAATTATAAGAAAAGATGGCAAAGAAAGTCATGTTTTTGATGGCCTGTGGAATAAACTGGACAATTCCTTGGTCTTTTATATCTTCTGATTAATATGTCATAATAATGTGTGTGTGATTCTCAATCAGGCATGCTTGATTATACAATAAAATTTGCTTATGAAATCAGTGAATATCATTCATGAATAACATTGTCAAAATTACTTTCAATCTATATTTAGGCTGAACATCAAAATTTCTTACTCTATCCTTACCCCAATAGGAAAATGCTAGGTAATCCTGTTCAGGGAATTGGTTAAAATCTATATTTTATTTTGGTATGTTATCTGTTATGTTTAAAAACTTTGTTCCTAAAATTGATTTTGCTATTTAATTTTTAATTTACTTCAGAAAATAATTTAGCATGAATTCTTATTTTTCTAAAGTTTATTTGATAAATGAAATATTAGAGTAATTATATATATAATTAACTGTAATGCTATTTAATACTGCAAAAAGAATAGCACAAAATATATTAACTGCTTTTATACTTTTTAAGATAGAAATGTGACCATAACCTTTTAAATTTAAATCAAGGATCATGGATTTATTATGACATATTTCCCAATAATTGTAATGTTTTCCTTTTTTAGCATATGTGCCTAAATTCTCACCAGTGCCTTTCCATAACATGTATGCAGCACAGAAAATGTCTGTATAGGAGTGTTTTAAAAATCTTTTCTGTTGCATGCAACTTAAAAGATATATCTAATATGCAATTAAATTCAATAAAATGTACTTGTGAATTAAAATATTATGTATTGGAAAACATTTTCAAATTTTTAATTTTTAATACTGTTTTAAAAGTGAATATAAAGACACTTGATAATAGAAATCATTAATTTCTTTGTGTAAATTTTGTTAAACAATTGATCCTTCTCACGCCCAACAAAAAAGTGTATCTAGAGCTGGGACTCCATTTTGACACATCGAATCAGAAGTCATTCAGAAAGGAATTTTCAAAATGTACCAAAATGTATTTGGAAAATTAAAAGGCACTATGACCTTGACAAAAACGGACATTTAAAATGAAATTGATGCATAGAACATATTTGTTTGTTCTGAGTAAATTTTTTAAAAATTTTGCAGCATCATTTTAGATTGATTCAACAAACATGGTTACAAAATATTTCAAAGTTTCGAAGTGAGTAAGTATTTTCCGTGACTGGATTAGAAAACAATGGTTGGGGGTCAAAATCTGAATAGATGGAGTGGATATACTTTCTTCTTTTTCCTGGTAAGTACAGCTACCAACATTAGGCCTTATAAAACAAGCAGGAAAAGAGTCTGACTTTAGCCAAATATTGCTACTGTGGCTCCACCTCCACCCCCACCATCAAAGACTGAGTGGGGAACTGGGAGCCATGAGCCAAGACCCTTACCTGAACTGGTGTTAACAAGGAGCCCTGCCATTCCCAGTGGGAAGCCTGAACTCCCACTCCTGCTCTGGAAGAACTGAGTATCTCTCCTTCCCTGGACTGTCAATGGAGGCAGAGTAAGGAACTTGTATTTCTAATTGTACCTGACAGTAATGAGGTGAAGTACCTTTTGTTTTCCACCAAAGTAGAGTCAGAGAAGGCCTGCTAAGTGGAAGATTTATATAAGATCTAGAATCTCATAATGCCTACAATATCAGGTTTCAATACAAAAATCACATCATACAAAGAATCATAAAATTCTCAACTTGATTGAGGAAAAAAAAAAAAAAGATGCCAACCCCAAGGTGAAACAAATGTTACATCAAAGTGCTTCAATGAACAATTACCAACAAATGAAAAATTGAAAACCTCAGCAAATAAATACAAATATCAGAAAATAATTAGAAGGCATAAGGAAGAACCAAGTAGAAATTTTAGAACTGAAAAAAACAACTGAAATTTTAGAAAAACTGAATAAATAAGCTCAACAGCAGAATGGAGATGGTGGAAGAACAAATCAGTGAAATTAAAACAAAATAATAAAGATTATCTAGTTTGAGCAGCAGAGATAATATAGACTGAAAAAAATAGACCCTCAGGGCCTTGTGGGACTATAGCAAATGATACAACATTTGTATCATAGGTGTTCCAGAAGGAGAGGGCAAAGGGTAGGGCTAAAAATGTATTCAAAGTGATAAATAGATAAACAAAATCTGGTGTAATTCATATAAAGGAACATTATCCTTTAAAAAGAAAGAAATCCTGTCACATGATACAATGTAGATGAACCTGAAGGACACTGTGCTAAGTGAAATGTTAGTCACAAAAAAATCCCCCAAAATACTACATGATTTCACTTATACGAGGTATCTAAACTAGTCAAATTCATGGAAATATAAAGTAGAATGATAGTTACCAGGGACTGGGGGAGGGACAAAGGGAATTGTTTAATGAATATAGAATTTCAGTTCTGCAAGATGAAAATGTTCTGAATATCCATTTCACAACAATGTGAATATACTTAACACTACTGAACTGTACACTTAGAAATAGTTAAAATGGTAGTTTTATGTTTTTTAAATCACAATTCAAAAAGTGATTTAAAAAACCCTATAAATCTTTCAGAAGAAAAACTGTTTAAGACTTAGAGCTTGATAAAAAGTGCATAGACATGACATCAAAAGAACAATCCATAAAAATAAAATTAATAAATTATACTTCATCAATATTTAAAACTTTTACTTTGTGAAGGACCTTGTTGAGAGGATGAAAAGACAAAGCATGCACTGGGAGAAAATATTTGCAATCCACATATCTCACAAAGCACTCATTTAGAATATATAAAGAACTCTGAAAGTGAACAGGAACAGCAAAATAAAGAATCCAATTAGAAAATGAGCAAAAGACATGAAGAGACATTTTCCCAAAGAGCATATATGGATAGCAAATAAAAACACACAAAGATGTTTAACATCATCACTAGCCATTAAGAAATGCAAATTAAGATCTCAATGAGATATCACAATGAGAATAGCTAAAAAAAAATACAATACTAAATACTGGCAAGGATGCACAGAACTTATATTTCTCACATTGCTTGTGGAAATGTACAGACCATCTGAAAGGTAGG